ATCTTTTTCATTGTTTTTATTGATATCTATATCCCATCTTTTTTTTTCTTTCTATCTTCCTCTCTCTCTTTCTATCTCTCTAACCCTTCCTCCTCCCATCTTTTTCATTGTTTTTATTGATATTCATATTGGATTTTTTTTTTATTTTCTCTCTCTAACCCTCCCTCCTTCTGCGTCTCCCTCAGCGTACGTCTGCCACGGCCACTGGGCTGAGGGCGGCTCCGTCTTCGTCGTGGCCTCCCCCCATGACCGCCCCAGCCACCGCCTCTGCCTCACCGCGACCTCCATCACCAACAACAACAGCAACAACAACAACAACGGCAAGAACAACAGCAGCAGCAAGACGCTCCAGGTCACGGCGCATGCGCACTCCTGCCCGCGGCGGCACGTGCCTCCCACCACGTCTCTGAGTCTGAACCTGACTGCGCAAGGTGAGCTGACCTGATTTTGCTTTTTTTTTTTTTTTAATATTTTTTTATTATCTTAATATTTTTTCAAGGTGAGCTGACCTGATTTTGCTTTTTTTTTATATTTCTAATATTTTTTTATTATCTTAATATTAATAAAATTTCGTTTTTTTTATTATTTTTGTTTGTTTTTTTAGGATTATTTTTGTTGTTTGGTTGTTTGTTGTTGTATTTTTCATTATTATATTGTTATCATTATGATGATGATGATGATGATGATGATGATGATGATTGATTATGATATTATTATTGTTATTGTTATTGTTATTATTATTATTATCATTATTATTATTATTATCATTATTATCATTATCATTATCATTATCTTTATTATTATTATTATTATTATTATTATCATAATCATTATCATTATCTTTATTATTATTATTATCATCTTCATTATTTGCTTTTAATTTTTGTTTTTCTTTCTTTCTTTGGTCTTTGTTCGACTAGATTGCGTAAGGGGTAGATCTGTGTCTTTTTTTTCCTTTTGTGTGTCTTTTATCTCTCTTTCTCTCTCTCTCTTTGATTGTTCTTCTTATTTATACGAGAAAGAGAGGAGAGACTAATTTGTTTTGTATTCTCCTTCTCATTCACCATTTAAACCCTGTTTGTCATTCTCCTCTTCTTACTCTCTGTCTTTCTCTTCTTCCCTTAATCCTTCCCCCTCCTCTTTCCTCTCTCTATCTCCTTCCCTCCTTCCCTCCTCCCATCACCCTCTTTTTCTCAGTCCTTCCTCCCACTTCCTTCTTTTTTCTATCTCTTTTCCTTCTTCCTCCTTCCACCATCCTCTTTTTTTCTCTCCCCGTCCCTCTTCCTTCTTCCCAATCTTTTCCTCCTCCCTCTCTCCTCCTCCTACCACTTTCTTTTTCTCTCTATCCTTCCTTCCGTCTCCACCATCCTCTTTTTTTCTCTCTCCCTCCTCCCATTCTTTTCCTCTCTCCTCATCCCTCCTTCCCTCCCTCTCTTCCTCCCCTTCCGTCTTTCTATCTCCTTCCCTCCTTCCTCCCTCTACCCTTTTTTTTTCTTTCTGTCTCCCTCCTTCCCTCCTCCCACCATCCTCTTTTTTTTCTTCCTCTCCTCCCATTCTTTTCTCTTTCCTCAACCCTCCTTCCCCCCTCTCCTCCTTCCACTTCCCTCTTTTTCTTTCTGTCTCCCTCCCTTCTTCCCTCCCCCCACCCTCTTTTTTTCTCTCTCCCTCCCTCCTCCCATTATTTTCCTCTCTCCCCCATCCTTCCTCCTCCCCTCCTTTCTCCTTTCATCCTCTCCTTTCCGTTCTTCATCATTACCAGATCTCTCTTTATCTCGAAACTCGGGCATCACAACTTGACGTAATCATCGCTCCGCTCTTTTTGCTTTCGTTTTATCTCGCTCTCGCTCGTTTTTGCTTTCGTTTTATCATCGTCTCGCTCGTTTTTGCTTTCGTTTATCGTCTTTGTTGCCGAACTTCTTGCTTTTCCGCGACGTTAACTTGGCCGCGCGTTTCCGGGTTCGAGTTCCGCGGCTCGTCGGGTCTCCCTCGCCTTCCGGGGTGGGTCGCTTTTTTTTATGTGTGTGTGGGGTGTATGGGGGTGGTAGGGTGGGGTGGGGCGGTTGTGTGTGTGTTTGTTTGATTGTTTGTTTGTTGTGTGTGTGTGTGTGTGTGTGTGGTGTGTGGTTTGTGTGTGTGTGTGGTGTTGTGTGTGTGCGGTTGTGTGTGTGTCTGTGTGTATGTGAATAGAAAACCGAAAAAGAAAAAGAAAAAAAATGATATCAAACATGTTAAGAAAAATAAATGGAAACTGGCATGACTCCTCTGGATTAAACACAAAGGGACGGACAGCGAATCAGAGAAATGACAAAATGTAATAAGAAAATGTGGATAAGAATGAATAACTTCACAAACGGAGGAGAAATGACTGACGTGATTCTGATTCGGATGAAGTTTTGATCGAAATGGTGTCAGTTGCAGCTCTGTGTCGGAAGGTTTAAGACTTTCCTTTTTTCTTCTTTTCTTCTATGCATCGTCTCTTTTTCTTTTTTCTAAACATCGTCATTTTTCTTTTCTTCTAAACATCGTCACTCGTCATCTCTCTCTCTCTCTCTCTTCTCTCTCTCTCTCTCTCTCTTCTTCTGGTCTTCTCTCATCTCTCTCTAAATCTTCTCTTCCTATCTATCTTATATATTATATATATTATAATATAATTATATAATATATATTATATAATATATATATATATATATATATTTATATATATATATATATATATTATATTATATATTATATATATTATATGTATATATTATATATATATATATATATATATATATAAAGAAGAGAAGAGAGGAATATTAGAAGACAAGAGAGAGAGAGAGAGAAGAAGAGAGAGAGAGAGAGAGAAGAGAGAGAGAGAGAGAGAGAGAAGAGAGACGAGAAGATGAGAAGAGAGAGAGAAGAATAATAACTACAAGATCCTTAATTAGATTTGATTCGTATCTTCAACAAAATGACATATAATTCTGGAAAAGATAAAAACCGGAACTCGTCATATGCTTATCTCTCTTTGTTTTATTATTCATTTACATTTACATGTTTTACTTACACCTTTATTTTACTCCAGGATTACCTTTACAGACACTGAGAAGTTATCTGTAAAGAAGTTGAGAATTCCTGACATAATACGGCTATTTATTCACAAGGAGGATTGTCATGTGCTTCTTTATATGTAAATGTGTTCTGAGATATTTTATGTTTTACATCTCGAACATTATTTCATTCTTGACCTTGTACTTTTTATTCGTTATTCTTGTCAACTTCACTTCCTGGTATTATTATTTTTTTTTTTTTTTTTTTTTTTTTTTTTTTGTCGGCTAATGAGTTTCATATATCACAGTCTTCGTCGCTCTAAGCGTTATTAATGAAATAAAATATATGAACATAAATTATTATTTCCTGAAAATGATAAATGATAATTTGCGAAACAATTAAAAAAAAGAAAAAAAGGAAAAAACAGAATTATTTCCTAAAAATTATAAATGATAATTTGCGAAACAATCAAAAAAAAAAAAAAGAAAAAAAGAAAAGAAAAATGGAAAGACAGAGAAATTATAAAATATGATTACCTTTAAAGCAAAATAAAAGTAAAATACCATAATTAAAAGGATTAACAACAACCTGAAATATAATAAACAGATCGTCATACAAAACAGCACAATCAACAAAACAACAACAACAACAAAAAAGCAACATCACAACTCGTTCCAACAGAAAATAAAACAACATATATGAAACAAAAAGCAATTACGCCCAAACAAACAGCAACAACATGTACACAGGAAAACACATCATAAAACACTCCAACATGAAAAAACAACAAAACACAAAAATAAAACAACGAACAACCCAAAAATCAACAAAGCAATTAAATTCAAAACATCAAAACAATTACCAGCATTTAAGTGCAAAACAATTACAAACAACAAAAATAACAACACAATCAACAACTAAATAATTACAAACAACAAACGTTAACAACACAATCACCGAAAAATAATTACAAACAATAAACGTTAATAACACAATCAACAACAAAATAATTACAAACAACATACGGTAATCAACAACAAAGCAATTAACAACATCAAAACAAAGAAAACCAACGAACAACAACAAAACAACAACAAAATATATACATATATACCTACCCATGAAAACACACACCCATCATAAGTCACTCCCAACATAAAAAAAAACATAGCCTGGCCATTCTTAATTAGTCACGAGGCATGATTAATCCAGGGCAGTTAACACAATTATTCACGTGAAATAATTAATGCCGCTCGCCACCTCCCGCTTGCTCCTCTTGTTTGTTTGTTTGTCTCGCTTGTTTGTTTGTTTGTTTGTTCACGTTGCTTTTTTATTGTTTTCTTGTTTTTGTTATTGTAATTATTGTTGTAATTATTACTATTGCCATATTATTATTGTTACGCTGTTATTATTGTTATTATTATTATTATCATCATTATTATCATTATCATTGTTATTATTATTATCATTATTATTATTGTTGATCTTGCTGTCATTATCACTGTTATCTTTATTTCGAATATTATTATCATTATTATTGAAGAGTTTATGTTATTATCACCATAAATAATATTATACTCATCATTTAAAATTTCCTGTTTTATCTTAACAACGGAATAAATTACAGTTTTACTACAATGAGAAGTGGCGTTCATTCCTTCTGAAAACAAAATATAATTATATATATATTATATAATCCGTTAACGTAAATTTTTTTTTTTTTTGTTACTCTAGCTGAATATCCACCAAGAAAAATGGAAATAAAAGACTAGTTATGAGCGAAAGATTTGAAGGATTTACGCTTATACAAGGAGCAAAAAAAAAAAAAAAAAAAAAAAAAAAAAAAAAAAAAAAAAAAAAAAAAACTTGGTAATGAAACATGGCGGGTCGTGTCCGCAGAGTTATGTAAGCGTGAATAGTTAAATCATTATGATGGTCATGAGTAAATTGCTTTCATGGTGCTACGTCTGTGTAACTTCACTGGTTGTCGTCTATAGTATTTAACAATTAATTCTAGTGTCATTAATTATTTAACACTATTTCAACATCCTCCATTCTCTCCCCCCCCCCAAAAAAAAAAAGTTTATTTATAAATCGTTATGTATAAATGGTTTTCTCTCTTAACTTTACAACTTACGGTCTTGTATTATATTATAATCAACATTATCATTATTGATTATTCGTTATAATTTCAGCTACCTGCCTACATCCCCCCCCCCTTAAAAAAAGATATAACGTTATATAACCATTAATTTTTGCTTCTTATTTTACAACCTCCCTCCCTCCCTCCTTCCCTCCTCCAACCTTACCCTTCCCCCCCCCCTGAAAAAAATTCCCCTACCCTCCTCCCCCCACCCCATCAGTACACAAAAAATAAACAAATCAATAGAAAAAAAATCACAAAAAATAAAGACTGAAAAGTGAAAACAAAATATTAAATGAATAAATAAATGAAAAAACAACAAAAAAGAAAAAATCACAATAAAATGAATAACTAAGAAATAAAGATTAAAAATAAACAAAAAAATAATAATGAATAAATAACAAATAAATGAAAATACCACAAATAAGAAAACGCAAAACAATAAATGAATAAATAAAAATCAAAAATTAAAAAGAAACTAAAAAAATAAATAAAGATAAAAAAAAACATCAACAATAAGTGAACATTTAAAAATTAAAAGAAACAAAAAAAAAAATAATAATAAATAAAAAAAATAAAATAAAAAATAAATAAATAAAAATAAATAAATAAAATATCAAAAAAAAAGAATCACAACCAATGAATAAATAAGAAATAAAAAAAGAAAGAAAAAAAAATAGATAAATGAAAATATCAGGCAAAGGAAAAAATAATAAATTAATTAGATAAATGAAAATATCAGACAAAGGAAAAAATAATAAATTAATAAAAAAAAAATAAATAAATAAATAAACAAACACAAAGCCCGCAGCCGAAGGAGGAGAAGCCCCGTCCGCGGGTTGGACGGGCCGTCTCAAGGCGCCGTCGCCTTTAACGCTAATGACAGGACCTCAAGCTGTCATTATTTCATGCGGGCCATCGATCCGGAGGAGGAGGGAGGGGAGGGCGAGGGAAGGGAGGGGGAAGGGGAAGGGATGGGGGGAGGGAGGGCGGGGAGAGAGGGGTGAGGGAGAAGGGAGGGGAGGGGGAAGGGTGATAGGGGGAGGAAAGGGCAGGGAGAAAGGGGAGAGAAGGGAGGGGGGTGAGGGAGGGCGGGCAGAGAATGGGAGGGGGAGGGAGGGGCGGGGAGAAGGGAGGAGGAAGAGTAGTAGGGAGGGTGGAAAAGTAGGTTGGGGAAGAGAAGAAGAATTAGGGGGTGGATATGTGTGGGGAGGGAGGAAAAGGACCAACAAGAGAGGGGAAGGGGAAGGGGGATGGGTAGGAGAGAGCAGAGGCGAGGATAATGGGAGGGTAGGAACAAAGGAAGAAAAAAGGGGGAAAGAAGGGAAGGAAAGAAGTAGGAGGTGGGAAAAAAGGCAAGGGCAAGGGGTGGGTGAGGGAAGGGAAGGAAAAAAGGAGAGAGAGAGGAGAAGGGAGGAGGAAGAAATGGGGAGGAAGGAGTGAAGAGAAGAAGGGAGTAGAGGATAGGTAGGTAGAAGAGAAGGAGGGAGATGTTGGAGTGGAGAGTAGAGTAGAATTTGACGGGATGAGATGAGGAGACAAAGGAAGGGAAGGATAGAGAGGAAATTAGGGAAGAGGAGGGAGGAAGGGAAGGACAGAGAGGAAATTAGAGAGGAGGAGGAGGAGGAGGAAGAGAAATAGTGATGAGGAGAGAAGAGGAGGTGGGGAGGAGAGAGGAAGAGGTGAGAGACAAGAGAGAGGAGGTGGAGGGGAAGGAGAGAGAAGGAGGTGAGGAGAGAGGAGGGGGTGAGGGAGGAGGAGAGGAAGGGAAGAGAGAGGAAAGAGAGGAAGGAGAGAAGAGACTTAGAAGAGGAGAAGGAGAGAAAGGAAGGGGAAGAGAGAGGAGGTGGAGGGGAAGGAGAGAGAAGGAGATGAGGAGAGACGAGGAGGGGATGAGGGAGGAGAGAGAGGAAGGGAAAGAGAGAGGAATTAGAGAGGAAGGAGAGAAGAGACTTAAAGAGAAGGAGAGAAAGGAAGGGGAAGAGAGAAGAGGTGGAGGGGAAGGTGAGAGAAGGAGATGAGGAGAGAGGAGGGGATGAGGGAGGAGAGAGAGGAAGGAGAGAAGAGACTTAAAGAGAAGGAGGTGGAGGGGGGGGGGAGGAGTTATCCCGAAACCTCTCATTTATTCCTCTTCTTGTCCTTCTTGTTTTTCTCGCCAAGGAGATCGGGATCTTCTGACGTTTTTCCTGCAGTTCATTGATGTCTCTGTCGGGTGATGGACGAATGTCACGTGGCCAGAAGATGACGATAGATAAATAGATAGTTTCGGGAATTTTTATGATAAGGACGAAATGACGTGGCCGAGATACGAAATAGATAAGAGTAAGAGAGTGGGATGGAGTTTCATGAATGAATCGAATGATCACTATGCCCAAAAATACGATAGATAAATAGAAAGTTCGGGATTTTATGAATGGACGAATGATCACGTGGCCAGAGATACGATAGATAAATAGATAGTTCGGGATTTTATGAATGGACGAATGATCACGTGGCCAGAGATGCGATAGATAAATAGATAGTTCAATAGGTTTGTTGCATGGGTAGATATTTGGGTAAATCATGATTGTGATGTCCGTGTCTATTTTGATTTTATTAATGAGATTATTACTATTATTTATTGATTTCAAACCGTATCCAAATATTTCTCTCACTCAATGGCCGATCGTTGCGTGGTTTCGACACACAGCAATTCGATGTCAAAATAACGATTTTCTTTCTCTGTTGTTTACAGGTGAATGCACTGTGGCAAGCAGCAGCAGCCGTCTCTCTCCCGCCCAACTGTTGCTCTCCATTCTCGCTGTTCTGTGCTACGTCGTACGTCTGGAAGGCGCGGGCTGCTGCAGCGAAGCGAAGGGTTCCAGATGAAGTTCTTGTACGGCATCCGCAGACGAGGGTCTTTCAACCTCTCCCACTGTAATCTAAGAGAATCATTTGTATCCAAAAGTTTTTTTTTCTCTTATTTATATATATATGAAAGAAATCTTTGTTATCATGATTGGAGGACCACTGATAGTCTTATTTTAAGCTTAAAAAAAGTATATATGTGGATGTACTGGTACGAGAAGAGAGAGTAGCCCCTATTACGCCACAGCATGTTAGTCGTCGCACCGTCATAATGAGGAATAGTCTGTGACTATTTTTATTCAAGAATTTTATATGTATTGCATAATGATATATATTCTTTTAAATGTTCCTGACTAACTCGAAAGCAGTTGAGGTATATTTTGATAACCATAGGTAGATAGCACAACCGTACAGATCCGGTAGACGGAGAGGATAAAGCGCGAGAGAGGGAAAAAAGAGAGAACGAGAGAGAGAATAAGCTAACAGAGGGTTTTGTATGATGCCTATACGTCCTACATTTATAGAAGCACATGAACAATAATAAAAAAGCAGATGCATTTGTACACCTAGTCAAGGGAGGTCAGGAGCTGGCCGAGTCCTCTTTAAAAAAAAAGGTAGGGAGGGGGGGGGGGGGGAGCAAGAAGAAACGTCATAGCGCCCATCTTCTTGGCTGTCACAGAGGACTCCCAAAGCTCCTGCAGAAGTCGGCGCACGGGGGTTCCTCAGGGGGAGGGTCCTTGGCTGATCGCACACCGAAGCCTCCCCCCTCCCCCCTTCTAGATAGGACCCCCGCATGGAAGGACCCCAAAGAACTGACCCCGCATGAAAGGACCCCAAAGAACTGACCCCGCAAGACACGTGACCCTCTGAGACGCCTCCCTAAGGACTCCAGGAAAGGCGGGGTCACACAATGGGCTAAGCGGAGACAGAAGATGGAAGGGAGGTGGAGGAAAAAGAGGAGGAGGAGGAGGAGGAGGAGGATAGGGTGGGGTCCGCTGGCTGTTGTCCCAGTAGTCGAAGGAATTCCGGTCCTGTGTGCTGCAAAATAAAACGTCGTTCTATTGTTTGTAAATACTGTATCATACACACTTAGGTTTAGGTGGCAGGAGACTGCTGATGGCTTAGGACATATAGCATATTCCGATCCGTCTTGAAGGTGTGGGATAGCCGGGGGGTCCTGCGAGGGAGGTCCTGCAGGCTCAAGGAGATCGAGGAGGAGGGAACATACCCTCGGACGCTCCGAGGACCTCCTCTTTTCTCTCCCTCCTTGACCTGGCACTCTTGAAATCTCCGTCGCATGAACTGTGCCTCGAGGATGACCTTTGACTTTAGCCTCCAAGGGGTAGGGGTTCGAGGACGACTTCAGGATGCTGCTCGTTATTAGGGAAGTTGTGTGTTGGTGATCCGTCAGATATTTGCACAAAGGGGTTTATTTAGTTGTCTGTTGCAGCATCAGTGAAGCCGTGTCCCCTCCGTGGCGAGTTCATGTTGGTTGGCTCTATACTCTCATGCATATCTGCTGATGTGCATGTGCTTATATACAGATCTACACACATATGCATACACACTAAAACACACCACAACACACACACACACACACACACACACACACACACACACACACACACACACACACACACACACACACACACACACACACACACACACACCACACACACACGTACACACATACATGCATACACACTAAAACATACACAATGTGTTTATATTCAGACCTACATAAACATTTCCATGTACACACACACATACACACACACACACACACACACGCACGCACCACGCACGCACACACACTCATACTCTCTCACAACACACACACACACACACACACACACACACACACGCACGCACGCACGCACGCACACACACACACACACACACACACACACACACACACCACACACACACACACACACACACACACACACACACACACACACACACACACACACACACACACACACACACACACACACACACAAACACAAACACACACACACAAACACGCACACAAATACACACACACACACACAACAACCAACCAGAGGATGGAGACCGTAAGGGTGAGGCCCCATGACCTCGCTGGGGCAAACTAGACCTTATGTCATTTCTTCACACTCACTGGTAAGCTCGGGTCTTGGTGAGTTCCGTGTACGTTTCCACTTCCTCCAAAACGCACATGTACGTACGAAAGGTGTATGTGTGTGTGTGTGTGTGTGTGTGTGTGTGTGTGTGTTTGTGTGTGAGAGAGAGAGAGAGAGAGAGAGAGAGAGAGAGAGAGAGAGAGAGAGAGAGAGAGAGAGAGAGAGAAGAGAGAGAGAGAGAGAGAGAGAGAGAGAGAGAGAGAGAGAGAGAGAGAGAGAGAGAGAGAGAGAGAGAGAGAGAGAGAGAGAGAGAGAGAGAGAGAGAGAGAGAGAGAGAGAGAGAGAGAGAGAGAGAGAGAGAGAGAGAGAGAGAGAGAGAGAGAGAATGTACGTGTCCCACCAGTAATACCTACCCTTCGTCTTGCACAAATCTGTATAAACTGGAACCAATAACTAGGTCACGTGACTCCCCGCACCCAACGAGCGCCAGTGTGATGAACAGATGAATGCATAAAAAAAATAATAATAATAAATAATGTAAAACCATGTGAATATTTTTACGAATTGTCGTAGCCTTAGCAAAAGTGTGGCAGCTTCAGGTGGGGAAGAAATACATAATATTTGCTTTTTTTGAAACTTTTAGTTCTAACTAATAAACATATATATATATATACATATATTTTTCCGTTTGTGTGTACCATGTAATGTGTGGATAATATTTTTTTTCTCATATACCGGAAAAAAGGTCATATAATTTCAACGAAGGGAGATAAAAAAAAAAAAAAAATCCTATAAAATTAAACTCAATGAAAATAATTCATAAATCGATAATTATATTTTTTTTTCTTCTCAATAAGGACGATTCGCAATGATAACTTCCTTATCGAAATTCGAAACGTTCCCGTGTGATTTTAACTTTGTGTGATTTTAGCTTTTTTTTTTTTTTTTTTTTTTTTTTTTTTTTTTTTTTTTTTTTTTTTTTTTAAATCTATAACGAGTGAATGTGTACCGTTAATGTACCGTTAATGCAACCTGTGATATTGGGGAGGTTTAATGGGCGGTGTGGGAAGCTTCCTAGTAGAGATGGGTTCGAATCCCACGCATCAGCAATATAGACTTTTTTTCCCCGGAATTTATACTTTTTTCCCAAATCGAAAAAAAAAACAAAAAAAACAAAAACAATCATAGATGAATGACATGACGATCATTATCATTTCTTGTTAAGGAGTAAATATTGCTTGTTTGTTTAATTATTATTATTTGATATATTGAGTCTTCGATGGTGATGAAAATACGACATTTCGTGATTTTTATATAAAGGTTTGGAATAGTTATAAGAAAGGATTTAGAGGAGGATTTGATCGTCCTTTTTTAAGAGATTTAATTGCTCTTTTCCTTTTAGGATTGATATCAAAAGAGTAGATTTTTTTTTGTATATATATAATTATGGGTGGAGTCTTTTTATTTATTTTATTTTATTATTTATTTTTTATTTTTTTTTACTCTAGGATAGATTTTTTTTGTATATGTATAATTATGGCTGGAGTCTTTTTTATCATTTTTTATTACTTTTTTTTTTTTTTTTTTTTTTTTTTTTACTCTAGGATTAGATAGTGAAAGAGAGAAACGTATTGTCTTCGGTTATATAAGATATAACTCTTGGTCTTCTTTTGGGGATAGAGATTAAGACGATTCAATTGTCTTCGTTATTTATTTATTTATTTATTTATATTTTATTTTTTTATTTTATTATTATTATTTTTTTTGTATAGCTAGCTGTGACCGTTGGTTCTCTCAGTATTTTTTTCCTTTTTTTTTTCCTTCAAATTCTTCGACCAGAGAAAGTGACGATCAACTCAGCCTCAATGTGAGTTCGACTTCATCCGGCTGTGAATACTTTTTTTTTTTTTTTTTTTTTTTTTTTTTTTGGTCAAGAGAACTTCTAGATGCTTCATTTTGGATACCTATGAATATATATTTTTTATTGTGAGGTCAACAGCTGCAAGTCGGTCAGGGTTGTTCCAGAATAAAACCTCGATGACCAATACACGAAAGGGAAACACACAAAAAAAAAAATAAATAAATAAATAAAAAGAGATATTTATATACGTATAAACTGACTTTCCATTCTGAGAACGACTATTCAAGATCCCTTTTCCAAAATCCATTTTGCCTTCCAGACCAACCACAGCGACTTCCGTTTTTTTTTCTCATTCGTTCAGGCACCAAATAGATAAAATAGATAGATAACAAGAATAAGAGATGAAATCAAATTAAACGAGAGTAAAACAAACAATAATTTCCTTTATATCTAACAATCCGTCATCGAGCAATCGTCCTTTTAATCTATCTAAGATCGTGGTTAGAGCGAGTCGGAGGTCACGCAAAGAAAGAATGTAGAATAAAAACAAAAAAACAAACAAACAAACGAGTACCCAGTGTTATTTAGTCGATCTCTCTAAGCCATGCCAACCATCTCTTCTTTTTTTCAGTCCATAGCCGCACCAGTCGGTCCCTATAGACCTACCGAGTCGAAAGATAATAACGATAATGTTTTGATATCAACAAGGGAATCGAAAAAAAGAAGAAATAATAATTATTGTCGCGAGCCAAAAGTCTGCATTTTTCCCAGAGCGGGTCTTAAACACGGGCACTTTTAGTCAGTAGTTAGGATTAACGGTTTCTCGAGCGTCTCATGTATTTTTCTTTGGAAAATGAAATCTTACTCCCAAATACGGTTTCAGTCGCTGATTTCCCTCGTTTTTTATCGTATAGAGAGAGAGAGATAGAAAAAAATAAGATTCCGATTCTCTCTCTACGCTCGCTTAAACCAACAAAGAGTTTCTAGTCGCTTATATACACCGAGACTTCCAGATTGTTCTGACTTTTATTTTTGTTTTCTTTTATCTCAGATCGCTTCTTTTGGATCTGAATTTCAATAGTGTATTCGTAGACCGCTAAATATACGTTATTTTTTTTCCTTTTTGATCTTCTAAACACTGTCATAAGCAGATCTCACGTCATCATCTCCAACAAAAAGGCTTAGATTCTGCTTGCAAGTTGGTGGGGTCGGTCGGTGGCTATTTCCAGGTTGCGTTCCAGCGCTTGCAAAAATATGGCTTTCTCCATCCGGGCAGCTACGATAACGATGCTGTTGTTTTCAAGATAAGCGGAGTGTGGGCGTGGTTTTGAGGGGCTTACAGGATAGAAGGGTATTGTTTTCTTTTGCTTTATTTTTCTCCTTAATGGTAAACAAAAATCTCTGTTTCCTGTGAGTGAAGTTCTGTGAGTTGATGGGAAGTTTCTAGTTGTTTCTCTATGACAAGTTCAGCAACTTCCAAGTCCTTCTGAGTCTAACTTCAACTTCAAATCCCTCTCCTTGAGACTTTGTCCTCTTTTGTAGGATTACATTTGGAAGAAGAAAAGAAAGGGAAGAGAAAGAAACTTTGTAAATGATGGAAAATCGTTTTGTAAGTGAAAGGAAAAGATTATGGTAAGTGTACAGAACA